GCAGGCATACAAGTTCCTTTTCACAAACGCAAGTGAAGTGTTCCCCTTTTCAGCAATCTTGTCCACACGAGAGTTCCACCGCAGATCACTAGACAGCAAAACACCTAAATAAGGATGTTGTCGAACAGATACCAGGGTTTGGTGGTAAAGGGTGTAATCTTTAACTATCGGGGATTTACTACGGAAAACAGACATTCTGTAGCATTTAGAAGGATTGAACAGCATCTGCCACCTATTAGCCCATTGGCCTAGCTTGTCTAGGTCACGCTGTAAAGCCAAGGTGTCATCATGATGAGAGATTTTATGATACAATAAAGCATCACCAGAAAACAATCTTAGTGTACATCCTAGCCCATTTTGCATATCATTAATGAATAATGAAAACAATAATGGACCAAGTACTGAGCCTTGAGGTACCTATTAAGTCACATCGACATATTTTGAACACACGCCATCAATTATGACACTCTGAGATCTACTAGTGAGCCAAGGTTTAATCCAAGTAAGAGTACCTCCTTGAATGCCATACAACTGCAATTTCTGATGAGGCGTTGATGGAGAACTTTGTCAAAAGCTTTACTGAAATCCAAAATGATCATGTCCATTTGATCTCCATGATCTAAGTTCTTGGCCAGGTCTTCGACAGTCAGAATCAATTGAGATTCACATGAATGATTTTTTCGAGATCCATGTTGGTTCACAAATAAGATGTCATTGTCCTCGAGATGGTGCATAATGTGCCTACAAATAATTTGTTCATGATTTTACATAATACAGCAGTAAGGGAAAAGGTCTATAATTAAATGGGTCATGTTTTTCACCTTTCTTAAAAACTGGTACTACATGAGCATTTTTCCAGTCATTGAAGATTTGACCTGACTCATATGACTGGAAGAAAAGGAAAGAAACAACTTCAGCTATTTCTGATACAGTTATCTTAAGGAGAGTAGTAGGCGATTTATCTGGGCCATTGGCTTTCTTGCTAACTATGTTCCTAATAAGATTAATTATACCCTCTCTGTTGAAAATCATGCACTCCATAGCTGGAATGTCATTGCAGCCTATGTTCAGCGTGGACGAAGAATCCTCTTCAGTGAAAATCTGTTGAAAATGATTGATTAAAGCTTCAGCTTTACTTCTACTTTCAGTCAACACCTTACCATTAGCATATAATGAGGGAATGCCAATTTGATCTTGTTTTTTAGATTTAATATAGGACCAAAATTTCTTTGGTTTCTCCTTCATGGTACTATCAAAAGTATTTGCTATGTATTGATCTTGTGCTGGTCTAAACTTTGTTTTTAATGGTTTATGGAGACTCCGATACTTCAGCTTATCACTAGCTTTCCCTGATTTCTTGTAGATGTTACAAGGCCTCTTCTTTTTTCTCAATAGTTTCTTGAGATCCCTAGTCATCCAAGAGGAATCATTTCATTATCCGATCTTTTTTTTTGGGACTCTACTATGGAGAATTGACAATAATCCTGACTTGAAGAACTGCCAGTTATCCTCGATGTTTATATTCTCTGGGTCTATTTGGAAGAAGTTCTTACTGAGGGTTTCTACATCATGGTGTATATCGTCAAGATTTGCCTTAATAAACTTGTATACTGTTCTATGTTTCTTCTTGCCAATTTTGACTGTAAGATTCAACTCAAAGGTCACAGCGATGTGATCATTAATGCCACTGATGCCATCAGAAATCATTAAGTTGCCCACCAGATCTGGATGGCTGGTAACCACTAAGTCAAGCGCTGATGCCTGCCTTGTAGGAAAGGACACAAGTTGAGTGAGACCATGATCGTCAATAACGTTGAGGAATGTCTGATTCACTAAAACACCATATTGTGGATCATTACTTACAGTATTTGTAATGAACGCTAAATTTAAACCTTTGTTTGAAGTGATTAGCCTCTACTCTTTCTGATTCGCTAATTCGTTGCTTAGCAATACGTCACTAGCCCTTACACGTGCACGGTAGAGTTAAAGTTCATCGTGCACAGTATATGTGTCAAGTAAATTTAAGCTTAAGCTACCCTTCGCTATTTAGAGTGCAATCGGGAACCGATCTGTGAGTATAAACCGTTTTCGTTTGTCTTAGTGTTAAACTGTATAGTTATACCTCTCTAGCTTAGATTTTTGCCTAGCGATTTCCTACAAGAATATCTGGTAATGTAATGNAAAAAAGGGAAGCAAACAGGAGAGGAAAAACGAGAGCATAATGAAACGTGACCGCCATTACATGCACCTTAGGATGTAGTATTTCGAAACAGAAAATTTTTGATAGCAGAATCAACAAGACTCATTGGAGAGTCAAGTTGACTAAATATAGAGCGCAACTTACCACATTCTGCATTGAGAGCTTCTGTTGTGGACGACAAGGCATAGGCACGATGTATTATTGTCTTTAATAAAGAGTCTTTACAGCGTTTATCAGTGTGACTTTGTTAATAGGCAGTGTGTTGTTTATCTTTTTTCACGTGATCTGTGCGATGCAGATTATGACGGATACACAGCCCGAAGCCTTCATCAACGCATTGCTGAGCACAAAAAACTCAACAATCGGTAGACATTTCATAGAAACTCACGGTAACAACAACCTCTTGAAAGAAAACCAATTCAAAGTTTTAGGAAAGTGTCAGGGCAAATTCGATTCTTTTGTATTTGAAATGCTCTTAATCAAGAATGTTAATGAAGCCTAATTTAAATATTCAGACGGACTCCATACGTGCGAAACTTTTTGTTTAATATTTTGAATCATCTTTTACTTAAGTTACAGGTTTTAATCAGCTATTGTTTTTTAAGTATTTATAGACTGGAACTCACAAACATATTTTGACTTGATATTGACGTTTAGCTAACGTCGAAACTTCGTCTTTTAGCAATTTTTTAATCTTAAAATGATTTTAAGAAATGTTTTATCGCAGTTTTTTATTGTCAGACTTCAAAAAAGACTTAAAAATGGAAAATCTCACATAACATGTTAATTGTTAACTCGGGTAACACAACGTGCCACGGTCACGCAATTATTCGCTTTCCTTGCATTTCGCATTTCGCGTTCTAAATCTAGCCTCAACTAAAACGCCGCTAGACTCCTGCTCTCGCTAATTTTTATTTTGTCGACTCGACAAATTCGTGATCGTGAAAAGCCTTGCTGTCAACGATATGTCATCATACTAACTTAATAATGCGTCATTAATTAGATACTTCAGTATTTCCAAGAAGTCTGTTATATTGTTAGCCTTTGCTAAAATTGCCCGTCAAAATAAAGAGTTCTTGTTTCACATTAGGAAATCTTCGTTATTCAATCGGAATAATAGGTTGGAAGTTCATTAAGAGATAAGCCGCTATTTAACTTTGGTACGTGACGCTATACCATAAGGTTATATGTTTTGTGAAGTGATAGTGCATTTAGAGAAACAGCCGCAGTTGAGCTTAACATTCTACCTCTCAAGCGATAAAATAACAGAAAATGGTGTTCACGGATCCTAAAATAGAGCTATTTTGAAGGCAATAAAATTGTTTTACTCATTGCTTTCGTCTGATTGGCTAAATAGCTACTGGATATTCCCTGCTGGCATCTTTGTGACCAGAATCGTACATAAACCATAATCTTTGAAGCAGCACCTGTCTTAGCCACGAACAACAGCACGAATATCTCCTTGAAAACATTTTGTTGAAAAAGCCAACTGCAGTGAGCTCAAGTTTTCGAACATTTCGTAAACACATTGTCATATACAGCAATTTTTCACCTTAAGCAGGACAGAGATGGCTGTTGTTAAAATAATGCAAACTGCTGTTTCAAGGCTTAGCTGGTAACTTCTTATCCTAGAAAACAAACGAATGGCAGAAACGTGTAGAACGAAACTCGAAGCTGCCGTTTTAATTTTAAGCTTCTTCTTTCAAAGCGGTATCATTATTCCGATTTCCTCTGAATGTTCTGGTAAGTCAATTTTGCAATTTGTAAGCGATGGATTTGCTTTGTCTAGTTTTAGGAGGCTTCTGTGAAAATTAATGTCAATTATAATATTATTGTTACATCTTCTCGCTGAAAAATACCCATTATTGTCGCTGTGGGCAAAACCCGACGCAGTGATTAAATTTCCAGTGGACTTTTGAACCGACATATAGAGTATAGCATAGTTCTATCTGCCAAGATCGACTATAGAAGGGATGTAGATTAATTGCTTTCTTCTTTGACGAGTAGCTCTTTTCTGGTTTTTACAACTTGATTCAGTGTACATTCAAAATCTAATGGTGAAATCACAGATATAATACCTGCTAAGAAAAGTTCTTTCTTCAGTACAAAGCTGACATGCAGAAGTTTCAAACTCCTGGGATAACGTGGCAGAGAAACCTCTCAGAGCACAATAAGGCAGCAACAAACCGTTATCGAGTGTCTCTCGAGGCAAATTAATTTGTTAAGGATATTACCCTGACATTATCTTATTCTAAACCAAAACTGTGCTTGAACTTGTTTTGTCATTTGCAAACCAAAAAGGTGAAGAATGCCGATCCATTGTTTTCAAAGAACCCATACAGGACAAAGTCATGAAGGGCCACCTGATCAGGCTTGAAGAGGTGCCCCATCAAGGCAGCTGTAATGTGCTGTGTTATATGGAGCCCAATTGTGTGTCCATAAATGTTGGGCCTTCACAAGCTAAAGGAGGGAACTACATTTGTGAGTTGAACAGTGCTTCGGACGAAAGTCCAGGCTCGTCCTACCTTCAGAGTAAAGAAGATTATAGCCATCTCAGTATCGAGGTAAAGTGACTTATTTAGACAATGAACAATTGTTGTTGGTCTAATGAAAGATAAAGTGTAATTATTTCTTGCCCGCTCTTACTTTGTCAAAAAGTCACGAGAAGTTATCGTTCCAACAAGAATGTGTCCCTGTGAGATCACATGATAACCTGGGAAAGTAAACTAGCCATGGATGTTTATGATACGAGGTAATTTTGTCTTCAACAGAATCCCTGTAGTAGCAGTCCCTGTTTCAACAATGGCACATGTCGAGCCGGAAACACTGATAAAGGATTTCGTTGTAAATGTCCTTTAGGATTCACTGGTGCATACTGCGAGAAAGGTAACTATGCACAAACTGTAAAGTAGAATGAATAACGAATAATAATCATCGGGAGGATAACAATTTCTGTTTTTTTTTTTTTTTGTTTTTTTTTGTTGTTGTTGTCTCTTTTTCTTTAATATAGCCTGCAGCCTTGACTTTGAAGATGGAATCGGTGGTTGGGAAATGACAGGCAGAGCTTTCATTTACCAGCCGACATTCGGTGACAATCCAGCAGCTCGCCGAAGAGAAAGCGCCAATCTACAAGGGGACTGGTGGATAGGGGGAGCTGAGAAACGGCCCAGTGAGAGCGATCCCGCAGGAGGGCAGCATCCAGATGGAGCCGACGTACCCCACGGAACTCTCACCTCACCTTGTTTTCGTATCGTTGGCAAGAATATCTCGTTTCTCATTGGAGGGGGATGTACCGTAAATGAAGTTTATGCGGAGCTTATTGTCAACAACCAGGTGAGATTATTCCCTTTGACTATTATTTATCTTTTGATTCTTTTAAAACAACTTACTTGATTGATCAAGGTATAACAGATTTGGCTTTCAAAATTACGAGACCATTTTGAGCTTTGTGATTTCCATAAAGTTCGCTTAGGTTTAAAATGATATATTTACAGGGAAAAAATATATTTACAAAGTAAAATCTAAACATTTTCGACACTGATAACAACCAAGTGTCGAAAACGTTTGGTTTTACTTTCCAAATATTTTTTGACTTAGAAATGGCTTATTTTGAACTAACTTAAGGGAGTGTACGCGAGATAACCAATTTGGCGTCTGGCTCTCCATATTTCACATTTTTAGTTTTTGGCTTACCCCCTTCCAAATAGCATTTTTCCCCTAAGATTAAAGCATTGTAAGTAAATTAATGTATGATATAGTCATGTTAGATATTTCAGCAATCGTCGAGACAAAGGTTTAATAACTGTTTATGTTTGTCGTTACGTTTAGGTCGTCAGAAAGGAGACAGGAAACTGCTGGGAGACAATGTACCGTAAGAGCTGGGAGCTGGGACGTAGAGGAGTTTATTGGTCAATACGCCCAAGTCAGACTTGTAGATGAGAGTTCTGGTAGTTGGGGTCACATCAACTTTGATGACCTTAAAGGAGATATCATTTGTCCTCACTATTAAAAAGAGAAAACTGAAGAGAAAGCGGATTTAAAAACTAACTTATCAGGTCAAGTCACCTTGAAAGTATGGTGAAACAGCTTTTGACGTAGCATAGTATTTTCTTTGTGCTATCGCAGATGAGCACAATCACTGTGTTTTTTTTTTTTTTTTCGAAAATCCGAATATGAAACAGTTTTATGCACGTGACTGAGAAGGCCTTAATCATATAATACAATCGTTAGGTCGGTTTAATGCGATGATGAGGACAGTCGATTGCTTTAGATGCTAGCAATCGCATCATATTTACTTTTCTTTTATTTGCTTTACAAAATCCATATCTGTAAAAACTGCTTAGTAGATTCTGTTCGGGATTAGATATTAAAGTCTTTTTTGAGTAACAGCTTCCAAAACAGGTTCCAGAATAGTGGAATATTGATCTTTTATTTGACTCTTGCAGTGCTGAATCTTTAGTTATTATACAGAAGGACTTTAAAATTTATTAATACATATTATTTAGCTTAACAAACGTTCTCGCGCACAGAGATATCCAATAATTTTCTTTTGATATAAATATCATTTTACGTTGCGGACAAAATAGTTTGGTTTTAACCCTAAAATACCACATTTAACTACCGCCAAACCCAAGGTCGTCTACAGAAAATAAAATGTTTCCAAGGCTTCTTGAACTAAGCAAACACAAATACTTGACTGATTATAAATTACACAAATTCACTTTCGGTTTTAAAGCAAATGAAGTGATGAAGCCAGAGCGCTTCCCTATAAAATCTTACAGTAACTAGTGAATCGTATTGATGTAAGAAGTTAGCTGTAGCAGGCTGAAGATTTTTTGCGTAACTGTTGACGTTTTTGTAGAAGTAAGAAGTTTGGAAAGGTTTTTGATAATTCTTCTTTGCTGGAAAAGTCACTTTGAATTGAAAGTTTATATGTTTGCTCGAATAAAGGCAGTTGTTCACCTCCAATGAAAAATAAAGTGCCAAAAAAATATTTTTAAGCTTTGTTTAGTCTCTTGGTGCTTGATAAAGGGGAGATGAAATAACGTTACTTTGTTTGGAAAATTTTAATGTAGCCTCGTTAATGCTTATAATAAGTGAATGAAGCACTCGATTCGAAAAGCCATAGTGATGGGCTTACAAAATGAAGAGAGCTGCAATAAATACGAACAAAACGTTTTTGCTCAAATTTCTTTGGTAAACCAGCACAAGCAGGTTGGGAAAGAAAGATTTCTATCACCCTTTCTGTGACTCGATCTCCCTGGCGAAATGCCAATTATTAGACATCCTTAGAAGTAAACAGCGTACTCGCTTATTCATGTATTTATGTGTGTTTATCTGGGTGTAATCAGGCGCTAATTCAAAGTAAA